TCAGTGCTGGGAGGTGGTTTTCAGTGAGGGAGATGAAATAGGATGGGATGGGAGAAGAAATCACTGTGGCTATGTGGAGAGGGTGGCCTGCCTTGGTGACCTATTCCAGGTAGAGGGAAAGACACCTAGGTGCCCCTCACACTACGGAGCCTTCACCCTCTCTGCGGTGGCAGGGCGCCTGGCTCCCTCTGCCTGTCCTCCCGTCACTTCAGTGTGATCAGGTGGTGACGGTCTCAGCTAGCACAGAATTACGGATGAGAAGAGTCTCAGAGAATGACAGGCCTTATATCTGGACATCGCCGCTGGGTAAGGCTCTGAGACAGCAAAATTAATGAAAAGACCTTGTAGAACTCCCGACCTTAGTGAAGATATTGATGTTCAGACAAACCTCTTATCAATGGAAAACTCTAGTAACAGCTGCTGTAAACTCTTTTCCTTCATGAAACAATGTACGAGGAAAGTTAGGCATGTAGTTATTTCCGACCAGAACTCTCCCAGGTTGTCACGTTGTCTTGAGAAAGACCAGTCTCCGAAATCACTGTGTTTTATGCACATACTTTCCCATCAGAAATTGGATGGAATGAGGGCCTGCTCTGTAGAGCAGAGTTGGGGAGAGGAGACACAGCTCCCCTAGCTGAGATGCAGGATGGCCAGGGGGAGAGCTGTTTGCACAGACAAGAGCCTTTCTCTCCAGAGCTGCCATTGTTTTATGGATGCCCTCGGCCAGGGGAGACTCCGCATCACTACATACCCCCTCCTCTGTCCCTGTGCCGTCACTGCTTAAGGGTTGTTAACCCATCGTCCCCTTATTTTTTCATATTGCTTATTTTTTAAAATCATAATGAAAATGGAGGCAAGAAAGATGAAGATAAAAGCATTTATTGATTCAGCCACAAATATAACTAAATTAAAAAGTCAAGATGTGAGGGTTCTTACTGGGTGACAGTCATTTGAGTTACTTCCCACAATACTATTATTCGTTATGTTGGAGGTTAAATGTGTTTCTTCAGGGTCCAGTGTGACTGAGCAGAATTCTGCATGTGTGATGTTGCTGTCTCCCACTTTGCACATGATGGGAACTCTCTGTAATTACAGCAAAAATTAAGGTCACCTCCTTAATGCACATTTATACAGAAGCCTCCCAAATGCAGTGACCTTCATGAAAATGAGAGAAGGTATGGCTTTGTCTCTGTCCAATCAGAGCCGTTGTTTGTAGAAATGCCCATCTATGTCCATCTACTCCAGCCTCCCTCAGGCTCATAGTTTGCAAAAGCTTACAACACTGTCACACGTGTCTACAAGGCTACAGCTCAGGTTACTGTATCCTCATTGATGTGATTTCCCCGTAGAGCTACTACTCTGAAGCTGTCCTCTTGTGAGCAGCAATTCAAAGCAGGTAAAAGTACTGCTAGATCCTAGGACTCCTATAACAAATTACTACGCACCTGGTGGCTAGAAACAATATAAAGGCAATCCTCAGAGATCTGGATGCTGGTAGTCGAATCCCAGAAGGGCTGCACTTCCTCTGGGTGGTTCCTGCTCTTCCAGCTTCTGGCAGGGGTTGGCATTCCTTGCTTCATGGCCCCATCATTCCAATTACCAAGGCCAGTATCTTGTAATCACTCCCTGCTCCATCTTCACATCTTCACATCTGTCTGTGTCCAATCTCCCTCTCTCTCCTATAAGGACACCTGTCACTGAATTGGGAGATCACCTAGATAATCTAGAATTGTCCCTTAAGCAATGTGTTCTCATTTCCTCTCACCCCTCCTATCTACCCCTCAGGCTTTTTGTGTGTGTGTGTAATTTGGATGGAAGTTTACAGAGCAAATTCATTTTCCACACAACATTTCATACACATTTTGTTTCATGACATTGACTGCAATCCCCATAATACAACAGCTCTCTTCCCACTCCCTCCCTCTGGTTACCCTTTCCCTGTGTCCTTCATTCCCATGCATTCCTCCCCTCTGAGCTCTATCCCTGTGCAAACACTGCCCTTCTGATCTCCCATGGTTGATTATTCTAAGAAGTGTACCTACCTGGTGTAAATCTTCACCTTATATGACTGTTTGTTGTTTGGCTGGAAGCCACAGGAGTGAGTTCAATTCCAGGCCCAACAGGTGGCTAGGGGCACCAGTCTCTGTCAGATGAGTAAGCCTGGACTTTTTTTTTTAATAATTTTGAGTTTTGCTCCACATTTTTCTCCCACTTTATGCAGAATCTCATATTTTGATTTCTTTCTGAATGGTTGACAGTGGTAGCCATGCACCTCCTAGTTCTTCTGGTCTCAGGGTCATGTCTGTTGACATGGTCCACTAGTCCCTTGGATGAATTGTTTCCGTCATCTTTGGTTTCTTCATTCTTACTTGTTGTGGACACAGAGAGACCAATTGTTGTATCTTAGATGGCTGCTTGCAAGCTTTTAAGACCCCACTTGCTACTCACCAAAGTAGGATGTACAACAATATTTTTGTGTAATATGTTAGCCAATTGAGCTTGATGTTCCAATCAACCATGGTCCTGAGCCTATGGACCCAGTAACTCACTCCCTCAGGGTGGTTGACTGTGACTAAGAAATTATTATAACTTTGCCCAGTTAGCTTTGTTTTATATATGGACGTTCTTATAATACATACAAATATGTATGTAGAAATATCATCTGTCAAACTTATTTATGGTCACAGGTATGTTGGTCTTTCAAATGTAATTATCCACAGAGAAGAACTAGGGCTCTCTGGAGAAAAGGCTGTTTCCATGGCTGAAGTGGGGAACATGAAAGATGGCCCAGAAACACCCTGATATAGAGAAAGAAGTGAGAGGTATTTAAAAATATGGGAACATGAGGAGCATTTTTAATGTCATCAAAATGTACATATGAAGATTGTTGAAGTGGGAAATGATTTGTTACCTATATATTTACCACAATTAAAAATGTATTTTTTAAAAAAGAAAAAAATGGGTCATATGTTAAGTAGGTAAGAAGACAACTTGAAACATCCAAATGTGGGACAATTTAAGCACAAGAATAATTACAGTAATAGGTAATCACTCAATCAAAAAATGAGCCCTTGTAATAGGCAGGTAATTGTACAAATGGATGGATGGATTGATAATGGATGGATAGATGAATGGGTAGATGGATAGAGAATGGGTGGATGAATAGAAAATGGATGAATGGGTAAGAGTAGATGATGGATGGATGGATGGATGGACAGATGGATGATGGATGCTAAACAGATGATAGATGATAAAAGGATAGAAAGAGGCAGATATATAGATAGATAGATGAGAGATAGAGGGATATGAAGGCCTTCCTTGTAATATAATTGCCAAAAATAAATGATAAAAAAATATATGGTTAGAAAATTTTGCAACCAACAGTACTAACGATTGAGTTAGGCAAGAAAATCAAAACTAAAACTAGTGGCAGAAAGTTGTATGATAAACAAGATATTTACATAGCAATTTAATGGGTGTCCTCAGAAATTTCACTACGGAAAGTATAGAAATCTTATGTTGGAAATACTACTTCAACCAATTAAGATCAAGCAACTCATGATGGAAAGTGCTGAGGAGAATATTGGTTTTTTCCTGCAGAAAATGTATTATCTGAATCAAAACGTGAACCCCAGACAATCTTAATATGAAGGACAGTCAGCACAACAACTACTCTATACTCATCAAAAATATCAACGCAAGGAAGGGCAAAGAAAAGCTGAGTAACCATTCTGCATGAACGGTGATGAAAGGTAGGTGGCAGGAAGAATAATGTGTGATCTTATATTGAGTTCTGGACCAGGGAGTTTGATGGGAGAATACTGTACACTGGAAAAAAAATAACCATGTGAATATGAAATATGAATTTTAACAACTATACTGTAGTTAGGTGAGTGAACATCCTTGTTTGCAAACATGAGAAACTTAGGTGCAAATGGGAATCATGTCTACAGCTTAACTCAAATGGGTTGAAAAAATAACAGTATGTGTGTGGAAAGTACAGCCTTCAGTATGGATTGCATCTCAACATAAAGAAAATAAAAATCAAAGAAAGAACTGGACCAATGAGCAGCATTACGATGAATGAAGAAAATACTGAAGTTGTCAAGGATTTCATTTTACTTGGATACATAATCAGTGCCCATGGAGGCAGCAGTCAAGAAATCAAATGACATATTGCATTAGGCAAATCTGCTGCAAAATACCTCTTTAAGTGTTAAAAAGCAAAGATGTCACTTTGAAGATTAAGGTATGCCTGACCCAAGCCATGGTATATTCAATCACCTCATATGCATGAAAAAGATAGACAATGACGAACAAAGTCTGCAGAAGAACGGATGCCCTTGAGTTATGGTGTGGATGAAGAATATTGACTGCCAGCAGAATGAACACATGTGTCTGGGTTTAAGTACAGCCAGAATGCTCCTTAGATGTGAGGATGGTGAGATTTTGTCTCATGTACTTTGGCCATGTTCTGGGGAGGGACTAGTCCCTGGAGAAAGACATCATGCTTAGTAGGGTAGAGGGTCACCCAAAAGAGGAAGACCTTTAATCACACTGAGATGAATTGACACAGTGGCTGCCACAGTGGGCTCAAACCTGGCAACAACTGTGAGGATGGCACAGGTCTGAGCAGTGTTTTATTCCTTGGCACATAGAATCGCTGTGAGCAGGGACCGGCTCAGTGGTCACTAACAACGAGACAGTGTAAAAGAAAATGATAAATAAAAAAGAGATGTTAACATTTGTTGAATCTGCATGAAGAGTTAAAGAAGTCCTTTTTGTAATGTTGACACTTTTTAAAATATGAGTTAATTTCATAGCAAGAATATGGAAGAGGAAGGTAAGCAAAGGTTGGGAACTGGACGAATAGGCTGAGCAGGCACAACTATGAAACATCTCTCTGAACTCAATTTTAGGTAGATACCTCCAATTTTCATTGGTTCTCCAGCTCTTACCTTCGTTTCACACTTCTGTTCTTGATAGACTGTCATTGAGGAATGGGAGGCAACCAAACATGGGTCACGGAGTTCCTCTTGGTGGGATTCCAGCTCCGTAGAGAGATGGAAGTGCTCCTCTTCTGGATCTTCTCCCTGATCTACGTCTTCAGTCTTCTGGCAAATGGGATGATCTTGGGGCTCATCTGTCTGGACCCCAGACTGCACACCCCCATGTACTTCTTCCTCTCCCACTTGTCTGTCATCGATATCTCCTATGCTTCCAACAGTGTCCCCAAGATGCTGGCAACCCTAGTGAGCCAAAATAAAGCCATCTCCTTTATCCCATGCATAATGCAGACATTTTTGTATATTGCTTTTGCTGGTGCAGAGTGCATGATTCTAGTGGTGATGTCCTATGACAGGTACGTGGCCATCTGCCACCCCCTACATTATACTGCCACCATGAGCTGGACTGTGTGCATTACCTTGGCCATCCTGCCCTGGTCATGTGGGCTTATCCTTGCCACTGTCATTGCCATTCTCCTTCTAAGGCTGCCCTTCTGTGGGCCCCGTGAAGTGAACCACTTCTTCTGTGAACTCCTATCTGTCCTCAAGCTGGTCTGTGCTGACACCTGGATCAGCCAAATGGTCATCCTTGCTGCCAGTGTGTTTTTCTTCATTGGGCCACTCTGCTTAATGCTGGTTTCCTATGTGCATATTCTCTGGGCTATCCTGAGAATCCAGTCCAGGGAGGGCCGCAGAAAGGCCTTCTCCACATGCTCCTCCCACTTCTGCGTGGTTGGGCTCTTCTTTGGCATAGCCATTGTGGTTTACATGGTCTCAGACTCCAATCAACCAGGGGAGCCCCAGAAATTTCTGTCCCTATTTTATGGCCTCTTCAACCCAATGCTGAACCCTCTCATCTACAGCCTGAGGAACGCCCAGGTGAAGAGTGCCTTCCACAGAGCCCTGCAGAGGAAGAGAGCCATCTGATGGGGGGCAGGATGCTGGATGGGTGAGCGTTTTCCTTTTAAGAGTTTTTGATGCAAAAATCCAGGAAATTTTTCCAGTTAGAAGTTTGATATAAAAATGGCAATTGTCCAAATGGTTTCTCAGACATCAGCATTATTCAATGGACATTCCTATTCTGTAAGCTGAAAAGCTATGTCAGGAGATGGGACGAGACATCATCTGAATGCTTAACCGTTCCTTCAAAAATATTGAAACTTTTTCTAAATACCTGAAATACTAATGTGTGGAGAAAAAGAACTATGTTTTAAAGGTAAGAAAATTACATCGACATGATAGTTTGGCTTGTGACTCTTTATCAACACTCTGTGATAGATGAGAAGGGAAGAGTCAAATTAGCACCAGGACAGAGAACTTCCAAAGCGCACCTGCAACTGAACACAGATAACATCGCTCACACGGTGACAGGCTTTTCCCCTCACCCATTTGAAGCCAAGAAAATAGATGACTGAGAAACTCAACTCCTTGATAAAATAATTTAGGAGCGAAGGGGAAAAGTTGATGAAACTTTAATGCTCCCAGAAAATATATAAACAATTCCAAAATAAATTTAAAGCTTTAGTGTGTAGTATTTCATGATATGAGTGAAATCTGTTTGAGCATCATTAAACGATCCTCAGTGCAAAAGTTTTGAACATTGCTCTGCCTTTACTTTATTTCTGTGATCATTGGCAATAACCCAAGATCTGGTCACCTGTTCAGGTTCGTGAAATTTTTCTCACCGATCTTCTTTCATTGCCTGAATCTGTTTAACTGAAGATGGTTTAGTGTAACATCCAACTGCATGAGCCAACACAAACGAATGACATGTCCAATGTCATTCGTTTTCCATTCACAGTGTCAGAGAGTCCTGTGGATCTATGAAGCCATAGTAAGCAATTGTCTTTTTAATGTTAACAATGACAGAATAAGTGAGGGCTATTTGTATAGACATTAACCAGGACATTTGTTTTAGAACTATTGTCATTATGGACTTTAGTTTTAGTAACTGATATTTCCTTTGGATGTACATTTGTTTCAAGTACATTATTAATTTCTCTTTCAATTGTCATTAGGGTGACTTTCAAAGTTATAGAACACTTTCCTTTGTCAACATATTAAAATTATACTTAACTCCACAATGGGAGATGCTATTAATAAGGTGTAAACTTACAACCTTTAGCAAGGAAGCACACTTATGTTCAAAGGAGCTTTTGGCATAGAGGCACTTTCTATGTAAGTATTTAGACATTAAAGCATATACAATATATCGGATACATTGATTATTTTTCAGATATGACCCATCACAAACACTCTCACATTAGCATTGAATGAGAGAATTTCAATCAAGCTAGGATGGTCATACTCAGTATCTGGACAATTTCTGCACAGTCTTGAGCTTCACCTTCATCAGAAGAAGGAGGAATGTCAGTAGATTGGGGTAGAGCAGTATTGAAGTGGAATATTGAAGAGGACCATTAAAAGTTTCATGGGCACTGCTAACCAGAAGGCTGGCTGTTCACCACTCCTCACAAGGAAGTTTCACTTCCAAGGTGATACTGCCTCAGAAACCCAAGGAGGGGGTCACTATGAGTTGGATCCGACTTGAAGGCAGTGAGTTTTTGTATTTTAATTTTTTTTTTTCAAAATGGTTGGCCAGTGTTTGGTATTGTTCAGAAACACTGGAGCTCTTACCACATGAAGCACCCACATGGGGAGAGGTGATGCAAGAAGCCTGCCAAGGCTTCAGTTAGTTGGAGTAGAGCTGGCATGGACATAAACAAATGCAGACCCCTGCACAAAGGGTCAAGGAGTGTGTTAAGGTTGATAGTGCGCTTCTGATGCACTCCTAGTAGTGAGTAAAGCCCTCTAAAGCACAGGTTTGTCTTTTATGTACAAACTGAGGAAGAGTTAGCACGGTTAGGAGAGCCTAAATTCAGGGGTTCTGTCTGAAATTGAAAAGTCCTCTTAAACACCTAGGGAGTTCTGGTGGTACAGTGCCTAAGGCTTTTGTCTGCTAACCAGAAGATTGACAGTTAATATCCACAAGCCACTTCATGGAAGGAAGATGGGGCAATCTACTTCCACAAGGATTTACCGCCTTAGAAACTTAATGGGGGTCGCTATGAGATGGAACCAACTCGATGGCAGTGGGTTTGGTTTGGTTTTGGTTTTAAACACCTGGATCCTTGGAGGGCTCTAGGACACTGGTTTATTCAGCTCATAGAAGGGTTCTGCTCCAAAAACTGGGATAAGCCAAAGATACCTGGATGCTTCTAGCATTCCTCTTTTCATATGCAAGGTAGCAAATCAGTTTGGATACTGACTTAGTGTGTGGGAAACCCAAAACATAATTTAACAGTAAATTTATAATTCAGTGTTGGTTATGTATTAATTTATAGATTAGGTTAGGAAAGAAAAACAGGGATTGTCAGATAAAACTGGCTTTTACACTTAGATATAGGAATAATCTTAATTTTGGAAAGGCAAGAAAAGTCTACTGTCTTCCTCTGCTGTTAAAGCTGTTGTTAGTTGCCATAGCATTAGCTCTAACTCATAGCAACTCTGTGGAAAACAAATGAAACAACGCCCCATTCTGCACCATCCTCACAATCCTTGCTATGCCTGTGCCCATCATTGCAGCCACTGTATCCATCCATCTTGTTCAGAGTCCTCCCCTTTTCCGTTGACCCTCTACTTTACCAAGCATGATATGCTTCTCCAGGGACTAGTCCCCTCTGACCAAAGTGGGTGGAACAAAGTCTGGCCATTCTCATTTTCAAGGAGGATTCTGGCTGCACTTCTTGCAGGACAGAGTTGTTCTTTCTTCTGGCTGCCCATGGTGTTTTCACTACTCTTTGCCAACACCAGAATTTGAAACCATCAACTCTTCTGTCTTCCTCATTCATTCTACAGTTTTCACATGCATATGAGGAGATTGAAAATACCATGGCTTGGGTCAGGCACACCTTCGTCTTCATACAAACATCTTTGCTGTTTAAGACTTTAAAGGGGTCCTTTGCAGCAGATTTGCCCAGTGCAATACATCATCTCATTTCTTGACTGCTGCTTCCATGGGTGTTGACTGTTAACCTAAGTGAAATGAAATCCCTGACAAATTCAATTTTTTCTTCATTTATCGTAATGTTGCTTATTGGCCCAGTTGTGAGGATTTTCTTTTTCTTTATATTGAGGTATAATCCATATTGCAGGCTGTAGTTTGACCTTCATCAGTAAGTGTTTCAGGTCATCTTCCCATTCAGCTAGCAAGGTTATCTCATCTGCATACTGCAGGTTGTTAATGATGCTTCCAATTCTGATGCTGTGTTCTTCTTCATATAGTTCAGTTTCTCAGATTATTTGCTCAGCATGCAGACTGAATTAAGGATGCTACCTTGACACACACCCTTCCTAATTGTAAACCATGCAGTATCCCTTTGTTCTGTTTGAACAGCAGCTTCTTGATCTACAGACAGGTTTTTCATGAACACAATTAATGTTCTGGAATTCTCATTCTTCACAATGTTATCTGTAATTTGTTGTGAATCACATAGTAAAATGCATTTGCATAGTAAATAAAACAAAGGGAAACATCTTTCTGGTATTCTTTGCTTTCAGCCAAGATCCATCTGACATCGTCAGTTATGTCCCTCATTTCAGCGCCTCTTCTGAACCCAGCTTGAATTTCAGAGAGTTCCCTTTCAATATACTGCTCCAACTCTTTTTGGTTTATTTTCAGAAAAATTTTACTTGTGTGTGACATTAATGGCATTCATTGTTAGATAATTTCTGCATTCTGTTGGACCACCTTTCTTTGGAATGAGTACAAATATGGATATCTTCCAGTCATTTGGCTAGGTAGCTGTCTTTCAAACTTCTTGGCATAAACAAGTGAGCACCTTCAGCACTGCATCTATTTATTGAAACATCTCAGCGGGTATTCTGTTAATTCCTGGAGCCTTGTTTTTCACCAATTCCTGCAAGGCAGCAAGATGTCTTCCTTCAATACCATTTGTTGTTGATCTGAGGAGTGGCTGGTGGGTTTGAACTGCTAGCCTTCTGGTTAGCAGTCAAGTGCCTTAAGCACTATGCTACCAGAGCTCCCGAAATGTAACTTACGTACAGGGAAATACACAAAACTAAAGTGACATGGGTCAATGCATTTTTTTTTTTTTAACAGTATTCCCTCCCCTCCCCTCCCACCCCTGGAAACCAACAAAGTTTCCCTCCGTATATAAACCTTTCCTTGACCCTCCACAACAACAAACTAATACTATATTTGTCCTTCTGTGGTTGACTTATTTCACTCAGCATAATGTCCTCCAAGTTCATCCATATTATGCAGTATTTTGCAGACTCTACATTATTCTTTACTGCTGCATAGCACTCCACTGTATGTAGGGACCATACTTTGGTCATCCACTCTTCTGCTGATGGGCACATAGGTTGTTTCCATCTTTTTGCTATTGTAAATAGTACTGTGATGAACATGAGTGTGCATATATCTGTTCCTGTCCTGGCTCTCACCACTCTAAGATATATACCTAGTAATGGGATTGCTGGGTCAAATGGTATCTCCAATTCCAGCTTTCTAAGGAATCACTATACTGCTTTCCACAGTGGTTTTATCACTTCACCAACTCACCAGCAGTGTATGAGAGTTCCAATCTCTCCACATTCCCACCAGTATTTGTTCTTTTCTGTCTCATTGAACCCTGCCATCAGTGCTGGGGTGAGATGGTATCTCATTGTTGTTTTGATTTGCATCTCAAATGATCATGAAATGCTCAATGATCATGAGCGTCTCTTCATGTATTAGCTGGCCACCTGAATGTCCTCCTTGGTGCAGTGTCTATTCATGTCTTCTGCCCATTTTTCAATTGGATTGTTAATTCCTTTGCTGTAGAGGCATTGGAGTTTTCTAGAAATCTTAGAGATAAGTCCCTTGCCAGATATGTAATTCAACAAATATGAATTTGTTGCTG